TTTACCATATTTTGCATGCACTGGAGAACATTTGGTGAAAATTTGATGAAAATCGGACTGATATTGAGCGCGCAGTAGCGATTTTCCGCAAAACGCCAAAAAGGGTGTCCTGTAACCTTAAGCCCGTTCTCCACTACGCGAATTTGTTCGCGCGACGCGAAGCGAAAACCGAAATCCGGCAACGTGATTGGTCGGCGAAAAAATTCGCGGCGAAAAAGTAGGATCGCTTCCTACTTTTTATCTGTTCGCGCGAATAAATTCGCCTAGTGGAGAACGGGCTTTAAGCCTGGTTCACATTAGCAATTTTGTCGGCGATTTGTGTTTCTGACGGATGTAAATGAGTGAACTCGCACATAAAAGTGTAGAGTCGCTTTTCAGAAGTAAACAATTCTAAGTCTTTTGCATGTCATTCATTCGATCACATTTACCAGGAGGAGAAAAATCACCCACAGAATAGACGATTCCCATTATAGACTAATTTTAAAACTAGGCAAGGAGATGCAAATAAATCACCACAGCTAGAAAGAGCATACTAAAATGAGTACATTTGCAAACTGCAAAGTTTGGTTGCGAAATGTTGTAAAATGCGAAAAATACAGCCTTGCAAAGTTTGCAAATTTTGTAGACTTTTGTATTGCGTGCGGAAATTGCTACCAGTTTCAGCCCAAATGTGGTAGGAATGTGGTAGGAATTTCCGCACGCAATACAAAAGTATACAAAATTTGCAAACTTTGCAAGGCTATATTTTCCACATTTTACAACATTTCGCAACCAAACTTTGTAATTTTACTAATTTTAGTAAAAAATGCCTAGTTTTAAAAAATGTCTTGCCTAGTTTTAAAATTAGTCTATGATGGAAATTGTCTATTGCCAGTGTGGACCAGGCTTTAAGCACTATCCAGAACAATAATTAAAACACAGCCATGTATAGGAAGATTTCTGAGCTCCATATATATACAGGTATATATATATATATATATATATCTGGAGTGAGAACTCGAGTCCAAAGTGAAGCCCAATCTCGTCCCCGAGCCTGCGATCCTCGGGAAGGAACGCGAGGCTCTGGGATAATCCGTTGGCGGAAGCCAGGAATCCTGGCTAAGATTGAACTGCGCATTCCATATCAACGGCCAATCAGATTCCTCCCTGAAACGGATTATCCCAGAGCCTCGCGTTCCTTCCCGAGGATCGCAGGCTCGGGGAACGAGATTGAAGTGAAGCCAAGATCGGACTTCAGTTCCAGTCCCTTTGTATTGTTTTCCGCGCGGTTAACACGAAGCTTCAAGAAGTGTGCCAAAATTTCGTATTTTGGCATCGATTTATACTCTGATATACGAACGCTCCTTTAGAAAAAACTGGAATTAGCTGGGAGAAATAATACGAAAACTCTGTACGACCTTCATAGATTTTGAACGTTAATGTCCGCCATTTTGTCTTCGATTTTCTCATGGGTCGAGTGACTGAATTTCTCGCTCCAGATTTATAGAGTTCACTGATGAGTTCACGGCGACGCAAGTTTAGAAAAGTTTTAAAGTTTATCGCACATTGTTGTTGCATGGAAATACAGTGAAAAGTTCAAATAATAAATAATTAATGATAATATAATAATTAGCCACTAATTAGTAATTAGTAACTAATTAAACTAATTAAATGGCAGAGAAACTAATTTATCTGATTGCAGTAGAATTTGAGAAAATAGGATTTTTTGTGTTGACGAGTTTTTAGCTGAAATATTTAAACAAGAATAATGGATTTATTACATGTAAATTTGACCGGTATACTTTACTGCCACGCTAATAAAATGGTATACTCGATTTTTATTATGTTCCTATATTCCATACAGCTACCAGGAGGAATTTTGTCTTTCAAAAACACTTGTCGGGTACCGCCCATGAAACTGCACCGTGCCGCTTTTTTATGTAGCCAAATGCTGCAAGGTACGAAAACGGGCGTACTTTGTAGCCACGAACCATGGTTAAAAAAGTTGGGAGAGCCAGTAGAGAAGCTTATAAAGCCACATTCAAATATTTAAATTCTATTTATTTCAAAATGCAAGACTACTACTACATATATGATATACTGAAAAAAAAAATTAAAAAACACCTTATGATATCATTACGGGACCACACAGTATTTTAAGAAAATACAAAATAACAGTAACTCCGAATAACATTTTGATTTTTTAATCGACTTTTCGACTATAGTTTGTTAAAAATCAAAATGGTATATTCGGAGTTATTTTGTATTTTTTATGAGATCAGTGAATCCAGATTAAGTATTGAGTCCAGTTTGTTTCCCTAAATTTATGGTACTATTATTAGAACTTCTCAGTCACCAATCAGAGCACAGTTCTGAAAATACGCACACTTGATTGGCTAAGAACCCCAGACAGTCAAATTCTAGTCACTATATTTAAAAATTAAAATTCTAGGTATTTTCTTTCCAAGTGTCGAATTTCAAACGTTCGCTATCACCTTCGGCTTTGCGACGAATTTGAGCTCTTTTCCTAAGCTTCGGCACAAAAATAAAGGCTATAAAGGTATAAACTAGTAATGGATGAAAAGCTGAAAGAAATTTTGGAGGAATTTTGGGCATGGAGGCTCAAAGAAGCGCCAGAATTTGGAACGATGGTCGGTGAACATTCACGAGACGACCTGCTTGATGATATGAGCTTAGCGGCTTACGACAAGCGAATGGTAAGTGGTTCGGTTTTTTACTTGCAAGGGTTTGTGTCTTTGGTCTGTCTCTTCATGGCGTTTATTTGTGCTTGTTGCTCACTGAAAAGGTTCTAGGATTAGGTCAAATTTGTGCATTTGTACTGTACAGTAATTTGGAAAGGATTTTTCTTGAAACAGTTATACAGACTTTAATAAATGTGTCCGCCTTTTGTGTCTGTAGAGAATCCGGTGTCACTACAGCTATATTTAAATAAATATATCATTTTCCTCCTGGTATTGGCTCTATACATGCAGTGTACCATTTCTGATTACCACTTTTGACCAAAGTGAATTATTATTTATTTATTGATACATTTATTTTCAGAAATGTGCAAAAGATTACATTGCCAAACTTGAAAAAATTGATGTTGAGAAACTGGACGAGGTAATGATTGATTAGAAGAATGATGTGTCTTAATTGGACAATAATTAACTGTTAATTTATTTATTGCAACTTTGTGCAGGACAACAAGCTTAATTATGAGTTACTGCACCTTGAGCTGACAACTTATATCAATGGAATGGCATTTAAATGGTATGTGAGAGTGACAACATTACTTTTTGATTTAAACATGTGATTGTATGTTAAAGTAATTTATGTGCATTAATTCTCCTTGATGCAAGACAATAAGATGATGGTATCGCTAATACTGCTCAGCATCATCACTGCCACTACCATCATCACAACCACCACCATCACAATCACCATGATCATCATCATAACCACCATCACATCCACCATCATCGTCACCATCACAACCACCATCATCGTCACCACCATCATCACAACCACCATCATCACAACCACCACCATCACAACCACCATCATCGTCACAATCACCATCACAACCACCATCATCGTCACCATCACAACCACCATCATTGTCACCATGACAACCACCATTGCAACCACCATCATCACAACCACCATCATCGTCACCACCATCATCGTCACCACCATCATCACAACCACCATCATCACAACTACCATCATCACAACCACCATCACAACCACCATCATCGTCACCATCATCGTCACCATAACAACCACCATCATCGCAACCACCATCATCACAACCACCATCACAACCACCATCACAACCACCATCATCGTCACCATATTCCGCCACCACAATGTTCCACCACTACGAATCCACCATCATCACAACCACCATCACAACCACCACCTACCTGACCATCAACCATCATCACAACCACCACCATCGTAATAAATCACCACCATCACAACTACACGCAACCACCATCATCGTGGACTCATCATCATCATCGTGGACCATCAACCACCACCAACCACCGCACCACCCTACACCACCATCACAAACCACCACCATCACAACCACCCACCATCACAACCAATTTACTCATCGCTACCATCACAACCACCATCATCGCTACCATCACAAACCACCATCACAACCACCCACGTCAGCCACTTATCACAACATTTATTTGTTACTTTTATGATAACGCATTTTATTATTGTGAATTTACTTTATTATTACTTACTTCATTTATTATTACATTTACTTCATTATTGCATTTACGACATATACCCATTTATTATTGCAATACCATTATTAAGTAATTCATTTATTATAATTTTACTTATTATTTCATTTATTATACTCATTTATTATTAGTACTATAAATGCATTTATTATTGTGAATGACATTATACCCATTTTATTATTATTATTTTGCATATTATTATTATTACGCATTTATTATTGGCATGATGACATTAACCCGCCATTTTCTTTCTGAGAACGATTTATCTGATTTTATTGATCTGATTAATCCACGATTTAAACCACCATCATCACAACCACCATCATCACAACCACCATCATCGTCACCACCATCATCACAACCACCATCATCACAACCACCATCACAACCACCATCATCATGACCATCGCAATCATCATCACCACCATCATCATCGTCCATTATACCACCACCATTATCATCATCATCATTACCACCATCGTCATCACCATGATAGCCCATCATGACCCTAGAGACCTACATTGGTGTTTTCTCCATTATCCAGCTACCTGTTTCCAGTGAATGGACTGGAAGGACCCCAAGTGGACTTTGGTAAAACTGTATCCTGGATGAAGAATGAAGTTCCTGCTGATTTTGAGAAAATTCTCTCTCGATACAACAAGTATCCTAAACAAGTAAGTTTTAATAGGAGCAACCAAATTAAACTCCATCTCAAACTTTACTTGTCACCAAATTAATACTACCATTTTCGAGCTTCCGTGAAGCGTGCATTTATAACTAGGTTTTAAAACGTTTCTTCAGCATGAGTTTGTCATTCAAAACTTTTTTTTCGCTCCTAAAACATTTTGTTTTGACATAATAACTTCTGTGGGCGTGGGCGTGGTATAAAACATATTGTTTTGCACGCGAAACTTTGAATTTCGGCGTCAAAACTCAAAAGGGCAACGTAAACATATCCAGAAGGTGCTATAAATCTGTTATTTCGCTTTCTATAGCAATTTTGTCAGTATAAAGTCAGTCCGTGTGAAAAATAAGAAGAAATTTTCGCGTGCAAAACAATGTGCTTGACACCACGCCCACAAAAGTTACTATTGCAAAACAAAAAGTTATGATTGACAAACTCATGCTGAAGAAACGTTTTGAAACGTAGTTATAAATGCACGCTTCACGGAAGCTCGAAAATGGTAGTATGATCACTCTGAATAACTGCAAGTTGACTACCTAGTGAAACCAAGTTTAATTTGCTTTATTTGCATGTTCTAGGCTGACCAGATTATTGAGCTGATGAAAAAAGGAATTGAGACTGGTTATGTGAATGCTAAAATTTCAATGGTAACTTATCACCAATTCATCATCATAAATATTATTACTGTAATACTGTCATCACCACCATGATCTCCATTATCATAGTACCATATGATCATCATCACCAGCATTTTCATTATCACCACCAGAATTGTGAATCACCATTATCACTGTCATTATCACCATCACCAACATCTTCATTATCACCACCAATCATGAACACTGCCATCACTACCATCATATTTAACACACATTCATTGTACTTATTCCAGGAAAAAGTACCAGATATGTTCACAAAAATTGTGGAAACACCAGTTAAAGAGTCTGCTTTCTACGAGCCTTTCAAGGAAATGCCATCTCCTATCGAAGAGAAGAAAAGGTGAGCATCCTGAGTCAAAATTTTTGATGTGATTTCAATTGTCCAGTACCAATTCCTGCTGTATCAATAAAGAATGATCCTTATACTGAACCTCTAGAGGGTTAGACAGTTTACGCAAAACGCTTTTAGATTAGCTTTTTTTCTTTCTAATTTCTTAGGAATTCGATGCAGGAAAGAGCCGTGAAGGCCATTAATGAGAAACTGTATCCAGCTTTCACGAAAATCAGTAATTATATCAAAGAGGTAGGTTTCAGATGGTAACTTTAATTCGTATCTTTTTACTCCTTAGTGAAGGTGTTCAAAAAACGCCGCGGTTTGTGGCTACAAAGTATGCCGGATTTCGGCATACCGTGCAGCCACATTTTGCAACATTTGGCTACATAAAAATGCAGCATGTTGTGGTTTCATGGGCAGTACCAAAGACGACTATGATATAATTAGAAAAGACAGATCACGAAATGGTGGTGGCGTTTGCATATATTTGCGTAGCTCCATGAATTACAAAATCCGATCTGACCTAATTCCATCTGAATTAGAGGCTGTTTGTGTAGAAATTACTAAACCACACAGTCAACCATTTGTTGTTACAACTGTTTACAGACCACCCAATGCATCATCAGATTTCTTTGACCATCTTGAAAAGTTGATCAAACAAATCGATGATGAGAATAAAGAAATGTATTTGATGGGTGATCTAAATTGTGACATGTTAAAAAAGGAAAAGCTTTCTAATGTGTCAACAAAAAAACTGAACTCATTATATGAATTGTACCAATTGTCTCAATTAATTGTACCCTGGATTCCAGAGCCTTCGACAGTAAATAATAAATTGAAATGTCGCGAAGGCTCTGGTTCAACGGGGCGATTCTTTATCGCCCCGTTGAACCAGAGCCTTCGCGACATTTCAATTTATTATTTACTGTCGAAGGCTCTGGAATCCAGGGTAAATTAATTGATGAACCTACTCGAATTACAATGACAACGTCCAGCCTCATTGACCATATTATTACCAATACACCGGAAAAAATTTCTCATTCTGGTGTTATTCACACTGGAATCAGTGATCACAGTTAAGTATTTGCGATCAGAAAAATCCGAATTATGCAAAAGAAAGAGAAAAACACTGTTGAAATAAGAAATATGAAAAATTTTGATGAAAAAAAGTTTGTAGATGAACTTTTAACTCAGCATTGGGAATATGTTTATTTTTTTGGCAATGACCCAACTGCTATGTGGGAAATTTGGAAGGAACTTTTCCTAGAAGTATTAGATAAACATGCACCACTCCAACAAAAAAGGTCAGATCTAGCAAAATCCCTTGGATCACAAGTAAAATTAAGAACTTCATTAATACACGAGACAAACTAAAAAGAAAAGCAATTATAAGTAAATCAGAAATAAATTGGATAAATTACAAAAAAGTTAGGAATCAGGTGAATATTGAATTAAGAAATGCTAAACAAAACTATTATTCCACAAGAATTGCAGGTCAAAAATGTAATCCAAAGAAAGCGTGGAAATCCATAAACAATTTACTAGGCAAACAAACCAAACAAACTGTAGTGAATGAATTAAATATGGGTGAAAATATTTTAAACAATCCACAAGAAATTGTGGAAGGCTTCAATGAATATTTTTCAAATATTGGGCCTGATTTAGCAAGTAAACTTGATATGCCCAAATGCAATTTTGAGACATATGTTAAAAAATCTACATCAGAATTTGCTGCATTCCAACCTACAACTGTTAATGATATATTTAATTTATTGTGTGGATTATCAAGCAATAAAGCAACTGGCATTGATAAGATTTCATGCAAAATTATTAAGATAGCTGCACCTGCCATTGCAGATTCGCTAACACATATATTTAATCAGGCTAGCGCTATTAATTTATCGTCCTTCCCTGATCAATGGAAGGTGGCTAGTGTAACACCTCTCTACAAAAATGGTCAACGAAATATTCCTGGAAAGTACAGGCCAATTTCAGTTTTACCAGCAATAAGCAAAATCATGGAACGAATTCTGTATAATCAACTATACAATTATTTAACCAAATTTGGATTATTAAGTAACTCCCAATTTGGTTTCCGGAAATCTCACTCTACAGCAACAGCATTATTAGACTGTACTAATGAGTGGTATGTTAATTTAGATAGGAAACTATT